GACTGAACAAGAAGGATGTACCAATAAAATAAATAATAAATAAATGCAAATTTGAGCTTTTCTTCATTTCACCCAATGTGAGACTGACAGGCTTTCTGTGCTGCTGTTGCAGGTGTTGTAGGATTTTTTGCTCTTCAGAGGGCTCTACAAAAGAAGTTCCCTTATCCTCTCCAGTGGAATCTGCTTGTTTCAATAGGTGACTGTTCGGTTTCAAATCCACTGAAAAACTGCCTTTGAGTGCCTCGTTTCAAACCTCTCTGCTGTCCTCTCTCAGTGGCGGCGTCGCTGGGCAGTTACGCAATAACTCGCCAGGAAACACAGAAATGTTCAGATCTTTGGTTGATGCTCGAAACCGGCGTAGTCCCACAGAGATCCCCACCACCCGGTGAGAAGACTGTTTTTTACTCTCATGTTCTCTGTTGATGAAACTTGGTTCTGTAAAAAACCCTAGATTTTTCGTATTTCTAACTTATCAACACATTTGTTATTTTGTGATAATAGAACAGAATACGGCTGTGTTCCTCTATATTTTTACTTTCTTTCTTTTTGTATTTCAGTAACTCAACCAGAGGAAACACAAGGACCCCAGAAGACAAAATATGGCGATGCCATGGAGTAAACATTTCTTCATCTAATGACTATTTTTGAGTTGGTTCACGGGCATTCACTCTTTATTTATGGACAAATGAGTCTTATTGTGTTTTCTGGTTCTGAAGTCTGTGGAGCTTTTGAATTTCATAACAGCATTAGCATGGATTTAAACCGTCTGTTCCCCTAAATCGCAGGTCAGGGTTTTATTCAGGATTTTAGCAGCAATCTGATGTAAAGCTTGTGATCTGGTATTATTGTTTGGATATGTTGGTTTGTCATGCAAACAGAATTAACTCGGCACTGCCAGCACCAGACAGTGGTTGCTGCTGCAGAACTAATAGGATCCTGTGTCGCAGCCTTTGATGGATTCAGTTAATGATCAGTTTGTGTGATCTTTAGTAAAAAAGAAAAAAAGAAAAAAATTGTATAGGTCTTCTGGACGGGTTCTTCTCTAATGAAACGTCTCGTCTCTCCTCCAAGAGACTTCTTCAGTCTGAGAGTTTCAGGCAAAATTCAGGCTTTTAAGCACTGCCTCCAAGTCTGGAGGCCCTGCCCTGGAGCAGTGTGGTTATCCTGACTGGGCTTTCCTGAAAGCAGACAGGAAACACAGACAGGATTC